ATTTTTTAGTTTTCTTGTTACTATACCGATCAACTATGAAACTAGAACAAGAAGCAAAATTTGGTAATGTTGATCCCTAACCAAATATATGGAAATAATAATAATGGAATTTTTAAATTTTCCAAATATTTTATTCTATTGGCCCACGAGCTGCAAACATCGATTTTTTGGGTATGTGAGAACCAACACATATACAAGAATATTGTTCTTTTAACGGAAACGGAAGTTACGGAAGTACTTAGTACCAAATGTATGCTCATCCGACCCAAACAAGATAATTTTGCTTTCGTTACAAAAATAAAAGTTTTTAAAAATGCAAAATCATTTTTTCATGTTTCTCAACGAACTCCAATCGGATTTTCCGGTTTTTGGGGTTTATAAATGGCTTTTTCAGTGCAACTCTATTCCACAAAAAGTGTTTGAATTGTTTCGGTATTACATTTCTTTTCCAGATATTTCTCTGCGATTTCAGTTTAGATGGACTTAGTTTTGGATTATCGGCTACTTGTCGGAGCAACCTATTTTCGTCTCAAATATGGACTATGTTTTTCTCACTGGTTTTCGGTTTGTTGCAAATACGATTCTCGGTTTTGCGCCTCAATACAATTTTTTGGACAGCACATAGAGTAATATTGAGTATTTACGCTATTTTTCTTTTAGATTCAGCAGAAGAACTAATTTTCTCTAGGAAATCGTTTTTGATGGTTACATCAGAAGATAGGCTTTTAAATGTTAGTATATTGTAAATAATACCGGCGGATAATTTCACTGTGAGTGTATTAGTTTTGTTTTCCGTTTTTAACTCATCGAAATAATCATTTCTGACCATATAAAGTATATATATTCTTGATCAGCTTAAAATTCTATGAAGATTTAAGCATGCCAGTCTGTCTGTTGTAATCACTCTAGCGTCTAAACGAATTGAGATAGTTCGTCTTTTGTCTTCAGGCAGGTTAAGTTCGAAGATGGGCTATATAGGTCCACGTTCAGGAATAGGCCTCCTATAAGGGTACACCCCAATTTTCCATATTTTGGGGTTCTTGAGCGGGCTTTTCAATCAAATTCGCTGAAATTTGGTGCATTGGGTTCTTATTGGGTACCAAATTTCTCCACCAAAAATTATAAATATAGGTCAACTTTTTCTGGTAGCCCAGAAAAAAATATATTAAAATAGTTATCTGATTTGTTCCTTGTGTTGGGGTATTATACTATAGTATGGGGGATATTCGTTACTCGAAATTGTCAGTTTTTACCAAACAAAGTATGGAATTTTAAGATGATTTAGCCATCTGTTGTAATTATTCCGCCTTCTAAGGATATCGTGATAGAAAAAACTCGAACCTGACGATGATGGAATATATCGGGCAGCATTTAGGCATCTCTGCCATATAATGATACCTCCTGAGGAGATACAAAACTATAATATTGGGATCGAAATTGAGCCCTTCATCCCAAATAATCGTTAATTTCAATATTGGTCCCCTTTTAGGCATAGCCTCATATAACATTGCACTTTAAATTGCAGTAGTTTGAGGATTTTAAACCACATGTTCCGATTTTCACGATACATTTCACACGTCATTCTAGACTTAATTCAGTACGCTATGACAAATTTCGTGCAAATCAAAAGATTTCCAGGCAGATAGTCAGAGAAATTTTGAAGTGGAAATCTGTAACCCTTCTTAAGACATAAGAATAGAATAGGTATATTATTTAATATGTGTGATTACTTTTGATGCTATAAGTCCGCATCCACGCTGGATTTTAGAATTTTATTTAGTCTATGTTACTCAGTAAAATCTGTTTAGCGGATTTTGACTATTCAAACAAAACTTTTTTATTCTCTATATGTAGATTATTTATGTACAATGGGGAGTGCATTTATCTCTAATCGTACCGAGGTCATTTTTTAATGGATGATGTGTATATACGCCTACGTTATACAGACAGATTTTGAAGACGGTATTTGTAACCGTTCTTAATATATATCCATATTACATATTCAGAAATTTTGAGGTATGTTCACTATTGATGATATAACTCTTCATCCACGCGGAATTTTTAAACTTTATATAGCCTATGTTACTTTCAGGGCATGTCATGATATACTGTGTAAATCTCATTAATATCTGTTCAGCGGTTTTTGCGTCTATCGGTAACATACAAATAAACAAACAAATTGTTTTCTATTTTATATATAGATTGGGTATTTTGTTCCATTAATTTTAAGTTAGGATGTTCATGTTCACATATAAAAAAGAACGCACGCAGTTATGCAATTTTTATAAAACAAAACATGTGGATATCATTGACTGTGATTCACTGCATATACCCCCAGCCTCTGGTTTGTGGAGATATATGTAAAGACAGGTTTATGTTTTTTAAAGAGTTCACCATGTTCAGAGGGGTTCCATATGAGGTCCCTATAGACCATATCTTAGAATTTAATGTAGATTTTGAATAATTTTACGATTTGGGTAAAATCAGACATTCCAATGTTCCAATGTTCGTTCAAATTGAATCGGCTCGCATGATATTATAAAATTAATTTTCAGCAAAATTGTGACTACTTTCTGTGGGAGGTAGCAGAAAGAGCGAACCGAACTTGATTATGGGTCCCATCTTTAAACTTGCTTAAGGTTTGAAAGAAATATTACGATGTGCATATTTGGCATAAAATGGGACATTTCAACAAATTTTGACCTTTTGTATTTTAGAAGCATTTTGTGGTGGAGGTACCAGAAGGAGTTGACCGATATTCCCCATCTTCGGACAAACCATTATAGCATTTAACTTATCAACTACTAAATGTGTGTGTCATATGCTTTGACAATGTCCAGATTGATAGTCTGAATGAACTGTAGGGAGATGTTACCGCTACACCTAATAAACATCCAATATTACAATTATGTGATGGAAATTTACTGCATCTACTATATGAAGGCCTTTTGGAGATTTTGGAAGCAGTGAGAAAATTTCCGAAATTGTAGAAAATATACTTCGAATTTCTCAAATCTTGGAAGATGCATTTAAACTTAAAATTAAAATGTGACAGGAACAATGAATGTATACTGCAGAAGGCAATTTTTATTTAATAATGACCTGCACTCCATTATAATTGTTTGACGTGCCGTTTGATCCAAACCCAACCTGATTATTGTGTTTATTATAATGAAAGAGAATTATTTCTCCATTAATCGTCCTACATTCACGTAACAAAGGAAACATTCCTTGACTTTTTTAGTTCCCTTTCTAAAAATCTAATACATATTGATAGATGTCCCTTTGTTCTTTCCGCGCCCTCCTTTATTTGAAAATATGATGCAGACTTTTGAAAAATCTCCCTTTGCTAAATCTGAATATTCGATCCAAGAAACCCGATCGAACAAATTTATTTGAAATTATCTCTTGCTTCCAATTTTTTTATTTGTCGGTGGTATTTAAACAAGGTTTTTTAAGTCTTCCGCAATAGAAATTTTAAAAATATAGATTTCACTTCGAGAATTAGTTAAACAGTTGAACCAGATATAGTGTTTGGACAAATCTAGCCTTGTAGATATTTGCAGCTTCGTCATTTAACTGCTCAACATTCTGTATGTAACGTATAAAATTAATTTTAAAACGCAACGTTGCACAGGAGTCGAAAGCACTGATCAACTTCTAAACCAATTGAGATATGTTACTGAAATTTTGAACAAATTCTGTCTATACCTGTGGGAATTAGTTGATCGAGTATGCATGTTACGTAATCCTCTATATAAAGGTACCCACGATTTTGGGGTTTTGATCATTTTCGACAAGTTTTTAACCAAATTGGTTGCAGTTTTATATTTTCTGATATAAAATGTCGATATCTTAAAGATTGTGAAAACATTTGTCGATGGAATTGACAGTAATTGGATAAGTTCGGTTCATGCAACAATAGCATGTAGCACAGAAAAACTGTAAAATATTGATTTTTACCAAATCTTATAATTTGACTTCATATCTATATGTCTCAAAATTGTATTTGGAATAAAAACGATTTCAATAAATAATTCATTCCGTTTAATTGTATCAACAATGTATATGAACATTATACGAAATACAATGAGAGTAATTTGTCAACGTTTTTTAAACAATTTGTCGCAAAAAATGTTGAATTTCAAAGGAAATAACAAAATAAATATATGCAATAAAATTCTAGAGAAACCCTTAGACTATTTATTTAGACGCATTGGAAAACAACATTGAAGCATTTTTCGTGAAATTTTGGAAAGAGTTTGCCAAAATTGGACTAAACGGAGAGAAAATTGAGGCGCAGTCGTGCCAACATTTGCATGAAATAATCTTCAAAAATTAATTTATGTGGTATCTACTAAAAATTCAAATAAAGATTTAATACATTTTTGGAATTTTTATTTTTGGAAAAACGTCCCTATAGATCTTTAAAAGTACTTTATTTTCTTTGGGGTTTTTTTTCAATTATAGATATACCCATTATCTCATAAGATGCCTCCCACTTTGAAGAATTAATTGCCATTTTAATTAATGCAATTAAATGTCCATTATGAAAAGCTTTAGGCGATGCGTAATATTCATTCATTATTTATTGTTTCTTCGTCTATGATTTGTACAAATAATGTTAAATAAATAATACGAAAATACTGTCTAATTACAATTTAAAAGTTATGGATAATTAAGTTATGAACAAGAAGTGAGGTTGTTGTCGTTATGTAACGTAATGAACTAGAATGTCACACATTTTCGATTATATAATAAAAAGGTGGGGTGGGGGTACAAAAAATGATGAATGTTTACATATTTGTTTTTTGTTTCATTATTATTTATTTAGCGTATTCGTTTTTGTCAATAAATTAAAATAAATTAATTTGTGTGTTTCTTTTTTTAATAAATTACTACAAACTAAGACCATAATGGTTCCTTTCGAGCGAGTCGAAAAAAGGCACATTTTTGGCATGGTAAATGCTGCTGCTACTACTTCCGCATAATCCAAAAATCGTCGTTAGCTAACGATTTATTGGGCATTTACTTGACCGGCATAAGCCAATTCTTGGGCATCATTCATGCTGCGAGCATATGGGTAGGCAGACGAAGCACCCGATGACCAGCCACCAGTGGAGGCACCAGACCAGCCAACATTGGAACTGTAGGCATTACCCAAAGAACCACCCAATTTACCGCCGAGCAATTTCGAGCCACCTAACAAGAGAGCCAAGAACAAGGCAATTTTGGCAACAATGATGGCCTTGGTGGTCAACAAAGCCAAACCGCCCAACAAGAGGGGTACAATGGCGAAAACTTTAGCACCGATGGCCAAGGCAATGGGGCCAATCATTTTCTTCAATTTACCGCGACCTGAAAAGAGTGTTTTTATTTAGATTTTTGTTCTGTTTTAGTTTTTAGGGTTTGTTTTTTTTTTCTTACCTTCATCCAAAGCACGAGCAATTTCTTGGGTAGCTTCAGCGGGTACCTTAACTTCCAAATTGTGTGTGCTCAAGAAATCGGTGGCACTTTCAACGGCCATATCAACCAAACGACCAGTACGTTCATCAGAATCTTCTGGCAATTGAGAGTAGACATCGTTTTCGCTCATGGCACGGCCGGCACGTTGGACAGGGGTGGCGGGATCTCTGTGAAAGGAACGAGATGAAATTGTAAAATGAATTTAAGTTCAATTTTAAATTAAATTTTAATAAAAATGTATATGTTGGAGAAATACATTTTTGCATTTCTGAAAATATTCCCTGAGTGTTCACTAGACTCAGGGAATATTTCCAGAAGCACGAGATAATCACTAATCTACTATCAGAATCAAAATGAAGTACGGATCTTTAAATCGAAAACCACATTTCAAACTCAAGAGGTATGAGTAGTTTTTGAAATATTGAATGAGGCTCCAGGAACTTCGCATAGGGTTCATTAAATACCGACAGATTTATTTCCATGCTGGAGATTTGCTATTAGCCTTAAAGAAGGATATAAGAAGTTAAGCAATGATGCGTGGATTTTTATTAGAATACCCCTTATTAGGAGAGATCTTCTTTTGCGGTAATGACTGAAGCATTTTCTATGAATATGGAGGCTTCAGTTAAAACCTGAAGGTATTTGGAGTTCTGGAGTTACATGGAATTTGTTCTTCAAATTATGTCGAACATATTGTAAAGAAGAGGGTGACAAAAATGTCCTACTATTACATCCAAATACAGACTAATGAAGAAATGCCGAATAAACGATTATTTAAAATATCAAAGGCAGTGATAGAGTTATTTCAAAGCTGGAGACTTTCTGGAATGGAAAGACGATTACCATTTATCCTGCAAATGACTAATTCTAAAAAAATTAAGGAAGAGAGTCAGCTCTTGATGAAAATTTACTTTAAAATGAGCCATTATTAATGGGTCTTCAAGTCACATCCAACAGGTCAGGACTTTGTATCCAAACATATATTTCGAGACCCATCCACTGTCTGATCAAGAAAGACAGAATAATAAAATATGTCATATCTTCATCCACATGCCCTGGTCGTATTTTAATATTTTCATTCAGGCCTGAGTAGTGAAAAATCTGAATCAGGATTCCCTACTGAGATATTTTAAAGCAGGTATGATGTGATTGGCTTAATTATCCGTTCATAAAATTAAATGAGGGATAAATAGGTCGTATTTTGGGTCCAAGGGATTTGGAGCCATTTGATCATATTTTCTACCACACTTGGGAAAATTCTCACATATTTTTACACTCGACCTTATAGGGCAGATATAGGAAAGGTTGAATAAATGTTTATAATTTATAATTTTGTTTAATTGAATTGTCTTCTCGATCTGTTTGTGATTCTCTGTCAATTTTGTAATTGTATTTTTTTTTTCACTTAATTGTTCCTTCATAATTATCAACATTTTAGGTATTCACTTATGTATTTTCACTTCAATTTTTTTAAAATTCTTCTGTCTCTTCTTCTTTTTGCATTTTAAATAATTTTCATTATATTTTATTTTTCACACACACCTCTTGAATGTAACACCATTGATCAATTCAATATTGCTGCTGCGGGCGGCACGATTCAAGGCTGTAATACCCTTAACGGCCAAACAGGTGGTCATATCGTCACTTTCCAAACAAGAACCCAAGTAACGGGCAGCACGGCCAAAGGTCGAATCGGTTTCGATTTTATTATCTTGTACACTGGGAGCGGCCCAGGCACAGCTGGCAACGACCAAGCAAACGGTGGCGATGGCGAATACTTTCATTTTCAAAATTAATTTTTTTTCTCGAAATAACCCGACACGTATTATATAATCCTTTTTCTGGAAGGCTGCTAATTTTCTTTTTCGTTTTGGTTTGTTTGGTTGCGTGCAACACTAATGATGGTTAAGATGCTTTTGATGTCAACTTCTTGAGAGCAACTGCTTTATATACCCAAAAAAAAGGTTTTCAGTTTCTTCTGCAGTCGCGAACTCACAAACAATTTTGTTTCAGAGTTTAAACGGAGAAAAAAAAACAAAACAACGAAAATTGAAACCATTACAAAATAATTCACAAAAGCAAACATTGTTTATGTTTTTTTGTTATTGTGGCTGGCAACAACAACGACGACGATGGCAAATTACTTATTGTTAACAGAAAGGGTAAACAACATCACACAGTGTGTAAACTGAGTATGCGCAACAGCGACATCAGCCCACAGCAGCAGCAGCAGCCGCCAACGAAGCTGCCAAAAATTGGGATACAATTTCTTGCCAATGGGGCCAGCAAGCATAGGAAATAACACTTTTGTTGCTCTCTGCAGAAAACAACACCGCCACACAGTCCAACATCCAAGCAAAAGTTGTAAATAATCAATAGCAACAACAACAACTACACACGATGCCGTTAAGAGCACGACATTTTTGGTTGTGCAAGATCATAAAAAAATAACACAGCCATACGTACTCGTTCACTTTCATGCGCTTACTCATTCATATAGATCTTCACGAACCTGCACACACACACACACTCACACACAAATATCAATCATCAAAAAAGCACACATAGCCACACACAAAAAATAGCACGGTCATAAGACTGATTGTCTGGCTAAATGCTGTTACTGCTGCTGCGGCTGCTTCTACTGCCGATGTGGTTAGTTAGTAAGCCGGGTAATCTAAAATGTTTACAAATCATGCGTGCGCTTAATAAGAAAGTCGGCGGCTGCTTTTAAATTTCAGTTTCATTTGCCAACATAATATGATGCAGCTCTCTGATATCAGAGGCCTATTAACTTCCCATGTGAACGGAATAACATTCGGCTGCAGAGATGCAGGCAGGCAGACAGATAGATTCATTCATTCACAAATCGAATATTCATTCATTGATAAACCGGTCAATTTAGATTTCATCGTGAATTAATATAACGTATACGTCCCGTTGATCTCGATCATAGTAACTAGAGAGAGATTTTGTGTGACAAAATGAAATCAGTACAAATTGAAGTTCTGGAATACCTGTTATAGCTTCATAGACCAAATAAAAAAATTGTAGTATTAAAAATGCATTTGAATAAGAATAGACCCATCTTCATGAAACTTTTAGTTCCATATTTTGTAGTGACTCGATAGAAACAATGAGATTTAAATTAAATTTGGCAATAGTCAGGAGTGGTTAAACTATGTTTGTGAATAATATAAAACTTCTCCGGAGGGTTGTAACTGGTGGTGTGTCATGGATATTTGTAATCAACCCAATGAAATCTGCTGCATGAATCAATATCTATAGACGTAATCCCTGGTCGGTCGACTATCAAAATGACTATCATACCACATGATTTTTTTTCTCAAATGGCGTTAGAATCAATAAAGTATAATTAATGGGTGATTGTGTTTATTTATTACTATAAAAACAGATAATTGTTCCCAGACTCTATAAAAATTGCTTCGAATAACGACCAAAAAATAACATATACGTCCCGTTGATCACGGTAGTTTTTCTTGTCTGTTTTCCTGTTCGCTCGCTTATGGTCATAAGTATGATCCTTTATGGCGAGGGGGATTTACCAACGTCTTAATTTACCGGATCAAACATCAAATTACAAAATTTGTAAAACATAAATCGGGGATGATGACAGTATGTTCAAGATGAGTAGTTGACCTATACATTGATACCAATTATATTGTGGCTTGGGCCTATTCTGATATTGTCTAATGCAAAATTTATGGTACTTTCAAATAGTGGGGTAAGCTTTAAGAAATTTTGCAAATTCTGGTTCAAGTTCAATGAGGACACTTATGACTTTCGGTGATGATCTATTAATATAAATGGTTGTATAGACCATATTTATGATCCAAAAACTATAAAATGGTACTCGGGAATTGGATCTGGGTGACGTATAAGTTTGTCTGTCTGCATTTTGATCGGTGGGAAAAAGTGGCAAAATTTTCCATTCTATGGCGTACATGTTTTCTTCAAGAAGACAGTGTCTTTAGAATATCGATGACATCCAAAAAAAAAAAAAAATACGTTTCAAAAGGACGTTTTTCGAGAAAAAAGAAAGATTTTGTTGACAATGTTAAGTTAGTGAAAACTCAAATCTTTTTCAAAGGACAATAAACACGGATATCTCGTTATGACGTTTGCCGCATAAGTCAAGATCTGTAGAAGCAGATTATATTGGGTGGAACGTGTAGTGTTCCCTTTCACTTTCAACGGTTGATAACGGGTAGTGCATTATAAGTTCTTGTCGAAGGGTTATATAGTCAATAATGAATATAACAAGTTCTGATGATAACGCCTCTTCAAAATCATTATTCCTATTTTTTTTTTTTTTTTTTTTTGGGAAAAATACAGTATTAGTGCAGTAGGTAACGAATTCCTCAAACGTTCCACAATAATAGTTCCGTTCAAGACCTAAAAGAATCTACTCATTTCACAAGTTTTGCAACTTTTTACTCGAAAACCGTTCCTTAACCCACAAAACTGGTAAACATTGAACAAAATTTAAAAGAACACAAAAGAAAATAGCTTTCTTTTTGTACAATTTTTACTCGAAAAATTTGTCCCAGTAAAAATGGTAAACAACTTCTGATTGGGTGTTATATTGATTTTGAAGTATTGCCATCTAATTTTGGCATATTTACTAGATTTGGGTTCCCGAAGTTTTTAAATTATTTTGCACTCTGAGAGCTATTTTGAAATGTTTCCCTTTTACTAGCATTATTTAAAATATTTATATATTAGCTATCCGGTAGATTTAGAATTCTTAAGTTTGGAATGAGGGCCACTAATGGAATGTGTGATAGATGTACCAAACGGCTTTTGAAATTCCGAAAAGTTCTAAAATGTACTAAATTTGTTATAATTTCGTACCATGTGAACGAATAGAGCCAGGAACGTATACAGAATTTCATTTCGGGGGGCCCACTTGTACAAAATGAAAAAATTTCTTTCTTGCAAACATGAATTCACTTTAAAAAAGTTTCATTTCACACTTGAAATTTGGAAAAAATGAAATTGAGAAATAAGATTTCTATTGGTTTGTATGATGTAGGTAGTAATAGAAATCTGTATTTATGTGTATCAAATGGATTTGGGCCAATAGAGCTGGAATGCTGAAATTTGGAGGAATGTAGATAAATTTCAATATTGGCATTTATGTGCTAAATTTTGCACAATTTTAATTTTTTGTGAACCGATAGAGCTGGAATTTTTAAATTAGAATTATTAAGTCTTGGAAAATTTTACTTATATGTACGAAAATTACAAAATGGTACAATTTGGATTTAGGTGAACCGATAGGCCTTATGGTCGATTCACTATCAAAATTAAACAATTCTCAACGACAAAATAAACAATATTTTAATTCTATAACAGTTTTTAACAACAATTGTTAAAAATGTTGTTAATAAACAACACCAAAAAATTCGAAGTTAACTTATCGACAAATATTCTTCAATATTGGATCTGCCTTGTTTTGTTCAAAATTTGTATGTATGTTGTTTTCAAAATGTTCCAAATTAAAAGCTTTTTGAAAGTTTATCGACAATTTCTCCACATTTTTACAGAATAACATGTTCGTTACTACAAACGATTTTATGTGTAGACAAAATTGTCGATTGTCGGATCGTTATAATTTATTGAATCGACCTACTGGAATCCTGAAATTTTGAGTTAGGATCGATGTTGGGGTGTGGGATTAAGGTATGTCGAACGTTTTAGAAGTTTCTACTAATGTGTACTAAATTTCATAAAATTTGAAAAAATTATACATTAGATCAGAAATCCAGAATTTTGGAATTAAGATTGTAGATTGTAGTTGAAATGTATTTTTGTGAGTTTGATGTAGTTTTTTTAGAGCTGGAATCTTGAAATTAGTTTTGGAGTATGCAGGAAGTTTTGGAAATTCTTAATTGTGTGTATTAAAAGATACTAAATTTGGAACAATTGGGATTTGAGTGAACCGACCGATCCGGAATCCCGAAATTGGAAAAAATATAGATTTCTATTGCTGTCAGAATTGGTGTGTAGGGTTGAGATATAGAGGTAGTTTTGAAAACATGAACCCATTCTGCATCCGAATTGGCTTTTTGATTACGAAGTGGACAGAATTTGACATTAAGAGATTTTTATATAAGTCCATGCTTTTTTCAAAGACCCCATACCAATGTCATGTGTCATTTTCCATATGTACAAGATCCTGTAGTTTAGTTTTTTGAATGTCCACCGCATGTTGAATGGAAATTGTTTTGAAAATATTGAAGATTTAATTGATTTTTAAAGGGGCAATTACGAATTAAATAAACTTTGTTTTTATCAAAACATATGTTTACCACAATTGTACGAGACCTCGAAATACCAAATTATATACTATAGGTTTAAAAACGATACTACAATATACAGAATATCCAAGAGTTAATTTTTCGTCTGAGAACTTCGATATAATAAAATTTCCAGATCCCCGGTTGGAAAGCAAGGGGAGGTGTGCTCAATGTCGTCGTCCTAAAGCTATAGGGATGGATACGAATAATACGAAGACCTTAAAACATAGACCTATATTGGAAATTGTCTGCCAAAAGTTAGTTTGTAGTATGAAAACTACGATATCCCAAATTAAAAGAACATGGGTTGGAAAGTGATTCAAGGGTCGTTTCAATGCCTAAAACAAGTTGGAGCTCCTGTATAGGGAATAATAAGAACATTTTAAAATTTCCTGTAGGATTTTTATATTTTATTGGAAAATGTTCGAAAATACAAAAAAGAGGATGTTATAGAGGAAATCATTAACATTTCCTC